CCCCGCCCCCGCCCCCGACTTTATCAATCGGGGAAAACCCGAACCCGAACCCGAACCCGATAAACACGGGTTTTTCCCATCCAAATCGGGGCGAGTTCGGGCGGGTACGCACGGGGGCGAGTTAGATTGCCATGTCTATTTTCCTTTATAAAATTAATTGTAATGTTATCGACCATATTAATTAAGCATAAATAATTTCATATAAGTTGATTTAATATTAGTATCTTGTAGATATTTTATGTTTGAATAATTATTTTTTTCTTTTTGTTTATTGGAGTTAGTTTATGTAACATAAAGAGCATCTTAAATTTAAGTTTGGTATCTTATATAAGATATTATAACTTAAGAAATCCTAAATCCTTGTGAGAGAACAACCATAAAGAATGAAAAATGGAGAAAAAAAATTAATCTATTATATTATACGCAAAACATAATACAACAAGAATATATATACAGAAGGAGACAAAAGATAAACAAACTAATTAATATGAAAACTATTCAAACTCAGTTAGCAAATTATATTTGTTATTACAGAGAGATGACTTAATATCTTTTTTACCCTCCTTCAAACTCAGTGTGAATTGTTTATCAACAGTGAGTTTGTCTCTTAGATCTAGGAATATAATAGAATTTGGAAACTTAGTTAAAAGATCTACAACTTGAAATCTTGTTGGAATATGACGAACTTGAATTTGTTCCTGAGCCACTCTTTCTCTCACAAACCATAAATCTAATTCAAAATGTTTTGTTTTAGTATGCATGACTAGATTGGTAGATATAAGAACGACCTTTTGATTATCACACTAGATTAGAGGTGGTTGTTTACTCTTGATATGAAGTTCGAAAAGGAAATCCTGAATGTATTGAATTTTTGCAACCAGACTTACCAAACTTCTGAATTCTGCCTCTGTGCTAGATCTAGATACAACTCTTTGTTTTTTTCCATCCAAGATATGATATTGGATCCAAGATACACACAATTACCAAATGTTGATCTCATGTCTTCTTGATCACTTGCCCAATCCGAATCACAATAAGCAAGAATTTCGGTATCACTGGATTTCTTATAGTGTAAACTATGTTGAGAAGTACCTTTAAGATATCTTAGTAGCCTCTTTGTTGCTTTCCAATGAATCTCAAGAGGATGGTGCATGAATTGACACAACTTATTTAATGTGTAAACAATGTCTGGTCTAGTAATTGTAAGATATTATAGAGCTCCAATTACTGACCTATAAAGACTAGGATCCTGACAGACTGTAGTACCATCATTTATGATTTTTGAGGGAGGTGCCATTGGAGTTTTGATAGGCTTGGCATTAGACATGTTGAGTTTGTCAAGCATATCTATTAGATACTTGGTTTGAGAAAGATGAATACCTCCTTCATTATCGGTGTTAACTTATATTCCTAGGAAATGATGAAGTTTGCCAAGATCTTTGAGAGGAAAGGATTTATGAAGAGTCTGAATCAGATTTTGTATGACTAAAGAAGAATTGTTGGTGATGATTATATCATAAACATATATGAGAATGCATATGGTAGTGGTTCTAGAAGTAAAGATAAACAAAGAGTGATCTGATCTAGCTTATTGAAAACCCAATTAGAGTAAGTTGACATAAGTTTCTGAAACAAAGCTCGTGGAGCTTGTTTGAGACCATAGATTCATTTTCGTAATTTGCAAACAGTATATAAATTCCCTTTGTGAAATCCCTGTGGCTGTTCCATGTATATTTCTTCCTTTAAATCACCATTGAGAAAGGCATTATACACATAAATTTGATGGGTTAGCCAGCCTCTAAAGACTGCAAGAGCAAGTGTGGAAGAAAATATGCACAAATGTTTTGATAATGCCAAAGTGATTATAAAGCATTGAAGAAGAATCAAGGGTGAGATAAAGCAAGTTGATGCAAGAACAAGATCTCAAGTGTTACATAGATAAGTCTTGTCAACTTAGCTAAGAATGTAAAAGAATCTTTTAGAATTGCAAGTATGTTTGGCCTTAAGAATAAGTTTTCAAAAACCTCAAATTAATCTCTTTAAATTTAAGCAAGTTTTAAATCTTTTGAAAGTAAGTAAAAATGTTTTTGAAAGACTTAACAAAAGCTTTAAAGAATAGTTCAAATCATTTCTTAAAAGAGATTTGTGAAAGAAATTATTGATATGAAGTTTTCTACATAAATTTTTTTTAAACAATGCAAAAATATGTTCTGGTAATCTATTACCAGACCTTGTAATCCATTACCAGAACAAGGAAACTTCAAAGTTCAAATTCTGAATACAAAATGTGTTCTGGTAATCGATTACCAGAAGAGAAAACTTCAAAAATTTAAATTTAAAAGATACAACGTTTCAAAATTTTTGAACTTAAAACCGTTGTAATCGATTACCAAGTCTTGTAATCGATTACCAGAGTATCTTTTCTGAAAAATTATAAAGAGTTACAACTCTTCATGGAAAGACACAATCTAAGAATTAATTGTATATAAATACCTATAATTTTTCAGAAATAGGTTACAAAGTCTATTATGAAAAATTCATATACAAAAACATCTTGGCCAAATTCATTTGTATTATTCTAAAAGAGTTCATTAGGATCATGAAAGTGTATATCTACTCTTAAAAGAGAGTTATTCTGTAATTCTAAATTGATCATTGGATCAGTGAAGGAGAAAGGGTTTTTTTCCTTGTTGGTTTTTGAATCTCAACACAAGGAAAGAGAGTTCTGAGGTGTTGGAGGATTTAAGTCTTGTAAGAGTTACAAGAATAGTGAAAATCTCAAGTTGGAGACTTGAGGACTGGATGTAGGCAGGATTGGCTGAACCAATATAAATTGAGTTTGCAATTCTTCTTTCCCAACACTTTTTAATTACTTGTCATTAATTGTGATTGAGTAGTTTGCATCATCATTCATTCTTTACATATAAATTTATCTAATTGAATTTGTAAGAAAGTAATTCGGAAAAGTTTTATAAGAGGAAAATTTGGAAAACTTAATTCCCCCCCCCCCCTCTTAAGTTATACGAGGCTATTTGACTAACAAGTGGTATCAAGAGCAGGTATCTTATATAAGGCTTAAAAGCTTCAAGATTAAAAATGGCCTCATCAAACTTTCTTTTTCCCGAAGGAAATTCTATTAGTAGGCCTCCTATATTTAATGGTGAAGGATATCACTATTGGAAATCCCGTATGCAAATTTTTATTGAATCAATTGACTTAAATATATGGGATGATATTGAAAATGGTCTTTATATCCCTTCAACTAAGGTAGGAGAAGAAACTAGGATTTTACCCAAAGATCAATGGAGTGAAAATGATAGAAAAAAAGTTCAATAACTTAAAAGCCAAAAATATAATTACTTCTGCTTTAGGAATTGATGAATATTTTAGAATTTCAAATTGTAAAAATGCTAAAGAAATGTGGGATACACTTGAAGTAACACATGAAGGCACTAATGATGTTAAAAGATCTAGGATAAATACTCTCACTCATGAATATGAACTATTTAGAATGAATCCTCATGAAAATATACAAGACATGCAAAAAAGATTTACACATATAATTAATCATCTTGCATCCTTAGGAAAAGTATTTTCAAATGAAGATCTTATTAACAAAGTTTTGAGATGCTTGAGTAGGGAATGGAAACCAAAAGTGACTGCTATTACAGAATTAAAGAATTTGTCTACCATGACTCTTGCATTTCTATTTGGAAAACTTTCAAGAGCATGAGATGGAATTGATGAGACTGTCAAAATGAAGATAGTGACAAAAAGAAGAAAAGTATAGAACTTAAAGCATCTTCATCTTCTCATGAAGAAAATGAAAAAGATGACAACATTGAGGAAGATGATGATGATGATGATGATGAAGATTTCAATCTCTTTGTAAAAAGATTCAACAAATTCCTAAGGAATAAAGGAAATAGAAGAAAATTTAACTTCAACATAAAGAATAAAGGAGAAGAATCTTCTTCAACCCCAAGATGCTATGAATGCAATCAACCGGGTCACTTAAAATTAGAATGTCCAATCTACAAAAAGAAGATGAAGAAGTCAAACAACAAAAACTTCAAAGATAAGAAAAGCAAGAAAGTATATATCACTTGGGAAGAAAATGATATGGACTCTACAAGTGATTCAGATAATGAAGTTGTAAATTTGGGACTCATGGTGAAAGGCTATGATAGTGATGAAGAGGTAACTTCTTCAAACAATGATATCTCTATTACCTTTGATGAATTGC